GAGGCCATATTTTGCAAAAATTTTTCCGCAATGGCAGACTGTGCCCGGTCGCTATACATCTGGTCTGATGGGGAAAAGGGTGGGTGAACTGATAGATGGGCAGCCACGGTGCCCATAGAGGAAACTGTATCTCTTTTCATCGTTTTGCTTCCCGGTACACATTTCTATTGGGTTGGATTATGAGTAATGGCGTTTTTTTCACACTAGTTTTTATATGGAAAATGACAATTGTTCCCAATGTGTTCTACACTGTTTGATAGATAATTTTCCGCTCTATAAGGCTATATGATTGCCTTCATGATTTCTCGGTTCCGGATTTTTATTTCTTTGGAATGGAGTGTCGCGTCCTCACAAAATTGAGTTTTCGACAACAACTTTTTGCACTTTATCTTCCCGAACTACAGGGAAACCTGGAAACTTGTGATGTGTATGACCAAAGAAAGATGCGTCTTACGACAGCTCGAAGTTGGTTCAAGAGTTCAAGCGATTAAGAGTTGGGAATTCGAAAATTGTAAATGTTCAGCGCATGGGGCGCCCTCTTGGGGGCGCGGCTGCCTGCAAAACCCATCCACCAACTTTCGAACGTCTAACATCAACTGAGGAAGGTAGTTGATAATGAAAAGGAAGCATTCCATGACCTCTAACGATTCCTCAATCTTTGGCATGAATCTCCTTGAATAAGGTAAGCTCTCAGTTGGACACAACAGGGCATTAGGTGTTCCATGCTTGTCTATAAGGTCAAAATTGAAATCTTCTATCACTTGAACTACTGCAAGCATTTCCAAGAGACATAGCATCTTGGCCATATACTTAGCAACTGGGCCTGTGCGGTTTGAGCTTTTTAATTAGAGGTAAAAAAGAGAGGCTGTCGAAAATGCTCAATTTCGTCGACCTGACACTCCAATTTGAACACTTAAATATTAGTGGAAAGAGAAACTTCAAGAAAACTGAGGAGGCTGTCGTATATGGCTAGGAATTCTCTGCAAAGCGGTATGAAACACAACAGGACAACTGTCGTCTTTAGCGCGATATTTCGAGTGAGAAAACGCCATTACTCATGGGCCGACCCAATAGTATTACCTCGCCGCTCGGCAGCCGGCAACTCTTGGCAGAGGATGTGCACAGCTCTTCGGGCCTGTGAGGTCCAAAGGTGCGGAGAAATGAACTCCGATTCCAAGATTCTTATCTAGTCCACTCGCTCCTCTACATACTGAGAAAAAGAACATTATTACTCAGGAACATGCGGAGAAGCTCATCCTATGTTTGTTATGATATGCCAAAATCTCACGGAGTGTGAAGTGGATCTTTAGCCACATTGCGAACTGATTCTGCCCTAGGTCACTAGAAATGAGGTCCTCTTCTCAGTGCTTGGTGACTAGCATGAGATACATTGGTTA